TTTTTTTTTTTTTTTTTGGTACCGGGGATTGAACCGCTGAGCCAAATCCCCAACCCTATAGGTTGCATTTTATTTCATCCTTCTTCTTGTACTTTTCTTTTATCTTACAAATCATCAGAAAAAGAAGTTGTATTACTGATGCAAGCCCTAAATACACTTTCCACCCCAGAGGAGAAGCTGGCAACTCTCTGTAAGAAGTATGCTGATCTTGTAAGTATTTAAGAAAGGGAGCAAGGTGAATATAAAATAAAGCAAAGAGATATATGCTTGATAGTATTATATATAATTTTGATATAGCTTGAAATGTAAGATTATATTTTATTCCAAAATTGAGGGAATATGATTCTTTAATACTTTTATCTGTTTTATTTCAGTTTATGATACATATATAGAATAGTATAGTTCTTTGCAAAGGGAATAGATTTCATAAAATTTGCACAGCCTTTGTACCCCTTGGTCAGCATTTTCATTCTTATATTTAGATACCTATTTTTTTGAGAGACAATATTTAATTTTTTAAGTTTTTTGTGAAGTAATTAACAATGAAAGCTCTCATCAGTTTCACTGAAATTATGCATTAAATTAAGCTATGTAAACAGTATACAGTGTTTCAGGAAATATTTAGTTAACTTTTACAATATTATAGTTCTATATTCATTTTCCTGAGACAATGACTTCATGACTTTAGACAAGAATGAAGGGTTTGTTGTTTTATTTTGTTTTTTTCCTGGTCCTTGTTATGTCAGGTGATTTTAGTGTTTTTTTTCTAGGATATGGAAACTTTCACAAAATGGAAGCCCTGTCAGCTCTTTTAAACCAAAGAATGAAAATATTATAGACCTTGCTAAAGAATGATTTGAAGAAAGTATTAGAGTAGTTTATTTTCTTAAATTTGTTTTTGTTTTTTGTAATACTGCAAATTGAACACAGGCCCTTTTCACTGAGTTAACCAATTCTTTTATTTTAAAAAAATTGTTTTTATTTGAAGACATGGTCTCAGGAAATCATTAAATTACCTAATTTGGACTGGAACTTGCAATCCTTCTGTCTCAGCCTATCAGATTGCTAGAATTAAAGATGCATGCCTCCACACCCAGCTTAGAATAGGTTCTAATATAAATGCTAAGATTCTTTTGTATTTTTAAATATGTGTGAGTTGTTACTGGCATTTGTTCATTTCCATATTATTTTGAAACATCTGCTCCATATCCAGCCTTTTATTGCAGTATATTATGACTATTTTTCAGAATAAAACTAAAACTTTGTATTTACTATTCCTGCTAGTGGTTCAAGTATAATTTCTCTTAGCTGGCACTAGCAGTTTGGTACTTTGTGATTTTTATGAGAAGCAGAAGTCACTTGGTATTAATGTAAATTATTTAGAATTGTCTCCATGCAAAAATGGAGATACAGCAATGTTAACTGCTATCCTTAGAAAAGAATGGGACAGTATTACCATCTGTTGGTTCACATTTGTATGGATCATCTTTTTTTCTTTAACTCACCATATTTGTGCTCTTAGATATGCACTAAGTCTCTTGGAGACAAAATGTGGTTGAATTAGGTTTCTTAAAATTATTCTGCCAGTTTCTGCTTTTGATCAGAGTGTAACATTTAAGGTAGTTATTTATAAAAGAGGATTGGTTTCTGCCACTGTGTTCTGTTTTCTACATTGCTGGATATTTTGTGGTCTGTTTACTTTTTTTATTTGATAATTAAATAATCCTTCATCCTTTCATTTCTGTATAATCTATCACTGTTGAGGCTACCATTGGAATTGGATTTAACATCATAAAAATTTAATGCTCTTTAAAATGTTTATCAGTTTAGTTTCAGCATCATGAAAAACTTTTCATAATGAGATCCATTTTTATATATCACAGTTTTTGATGTCAAAAAAAATCACATCTTTGGGTGCCCTTAGGCTATTTTTACCACCAACAATTATAGGCTAGATTCCTGTGTGTTTGTTTTTCTATTTTATCACCTTGTCTGATGTCATTTTGATATCCTGTCCATTGACTTCATCATCATTACCTGAGTTTCCTGATGTATTATGGGATTGATGTGGAAGGATCTCTACACAAATATTGTCAGCAGTAATTAACTATATATTTTTTATTATCCTATTGCCTTTATTTACCACCCCCACCTTTGGACTTTATGTGTTATCATTAATCACTATATTTGGAAAAAGTACTTTCCCCCATTTTGTTTACACAACCCATTTGACTAGCTGAAACTCAATTCTGCATATCCCAAAATGCAAAGAGGCAGATGAAAATGTAACCCAGCAAATAGAGGGTCTAAGATGGTTTACTCTTTTTTTTTTTAAATTTATTTATTTGGTATTGGAGATTGAACTCGGGTCCTTGCACTTGCAAGGCAGGACGCCAAACTGCTGAGCTAAATCCCAGCCCTACTTTTTTATTTTATTAGTATGTAATGTGTACATATTATAGTCATCTTGGAGAGGTGGTAGCTGTATGTGATGTTACTTTTTAAAAACTACTCTGTTCTCCTCAGCTAATTCTCTTTTCATTTTGTTAATATTAACCCTAACTCATATTTATGTCATATAATGTCCACATTCATTGAGGTTATTAGTACCCTGCGCATGGCATATATTAATTCATCTTGTCTTCCTCTCTTCTCCCTGTGGCATGTTCATCTTAATACCTTCTTCTCCACAGAGCTATTGTGGAAGCCACCACAGTATTGGTACTTTCCCTTAATTACAGTCCCTTAGCTTTCCTGTACCATTCACTTCCACAGCACTAACTGTGTCTCTTTCCTAAGGTATTAGGAAATGAAATCTTAGAATACTTTTGTCCACACCTATCTTTTTGAACATTTTAGCTCCCTTTAAAAAATTCATTCATGTGTATTAGCTCAATGCCACTACCCAGTAAGGATCAGTTTAGTGTATCAGTAGTGTAAAAGGGCAGTCACAAATGACCTATAATAGCAGCAACTTGTCAATACTATTGCCCTTAAAAAAGTAAGTTTAAACTAGTCATACTTTTTTTTTTAAACATCTCTTAGTACACAGGAGAACTGCTGGAATAGGAAAGAGTTAATACATAATTTATTGACAGTGCAATATCTATAGCCAATTTAAAGATGCTATACTCCTTTGATTTTTGTAAAATTACTTTACAAAGTGGGCCAGGGATTTAGCTCAATGGTTCTGCTGCCTGCCTCGCAAGTACAAGGACCTGAGTTCAATCCCCAGTACCAAAAAAAAACAAAACAAAACAATTACTTTAAAAAGTTATTTTTTATGAAGAAATTTCAGTAAAATTATTTTTCTGCCTTTAGTCATATCAGCTGGAAAGAAGATTGTTCCCATCTTCCTCTTGAAATATGTGTCAGTGACTTCATAAAAGCTTGACTCATGTCAGAAAGACTACTATTTTATGTATTAGTAAAATGGAATAAATTATTCTGAATATAAAACGAATTCATCTTTAGATGAAGAAGGCCTGAGGAGTGCTAATTGTGTTTTTAATTTTGGTAACTGTTTCAATAATGTAGCTTTTGCCAGGCATAGTGGCATACATCTGTTGTCCCAGCACATGGGAGACTGAAGCAAAAGGATTACTTAGAGGCCATCCTTGATTGCGTAGTGATTTGAATTCAAGGCTAGCCTGAACTACGTTGCAAGACATTACCTAAAAAAATAAAATTAGCTTTCATGATCTCTTACAGGAGTTTCTAATTCATAGTTTTAATTCAAAGATCAGTTTTTGTTTTCAGTAAGAAATGGAGATTTAAGTTTGTTTATTTGTTTGTTTTTTCTACGCTGATTTACAAACACACTTTCTTATCATATCTTGAAAAAAGAGGACTGGAAAGATTCCATATAACTGTGTTTAATCTAGGTATAACTTACAGTTTCTTAAGTGTAAAGTGCTTTTTAATTTTAGCTGGAAGAACGCAGGAATGTTCAGAAGCAAGTGAAGAGACTGCAAAAGAAGCAAGCCCAAATTGTGAAAAAAAAGGTTTTCTTGCAGAGTGAACACAGCAAGGCTGTCTTGGCAAGAAGCAAACTAGAATCTCTTTGCAGGGAACTTCAGCATCACAATAAGACCTTAAAGATTAGCTGATCTAATTTATTGTTTTCGGGGAGATGCCTAGATTGCTTTTATGATCAGTCTTTCTCTCATAGAAATCAGTTATTCTTTTTACTTGCTTTAATAGAAATTAGTTATAATAATGTCTTCTGATTGAGAACTGCTACTTAATACTGATTACTCACAGCTTGGGACTTATAAGAGGTCTTTGTGGGGTTTTTAGACACTAAAGATAGTATCTAGAACTTTATTTTGCTTGATCTAATGCATATGTGAATGTAAGACACATTTTCATATATAATTTTTGGTTTCAGTTTCTAGGATACACCCTTTACCTTATACTTGGTCACAAAGAAAGTAAATGACACATGTCCACACCTCTCCTTCATAGAAAACTCCAAGTTGCAAGATTTTTCTATTTATTATTGATGTATATCAATTCCTTAGTTGTGAACTTAATTCTTTCCATAATTCTGATCACGAACAAACTGGACAAGAAACAAATCATTAGTTATTGTCAGTGTTGATCTGAGGAAATTTGATTCAGTTCTCACCCAAATTGGTTGTGACTGGAGTAGTGGGAAAAATTAAGTTCCTGAGCCACTGTAGTTATATCCTCTTCTGATAAAGCATGAGACACTTAGTTGAAATAAAGAATTAATAACAGTATATTTGACTCAACCTGAGTTTAAATTGTTTGTTCTATGCTGGATGTTGATTGAATTGATTGCTGTACTACACATCCCTCATTCTCAGCTATTCAGTCTAAATCCATTTTTAGGATGTGCTTATTATAAAAGAAGAGAGCAGGTTTCAAATTCTTACCTGGAAGGAATGAGTAGAAATCATATAAAACAAATTTGTCTGCTTGTGAATTAGAGACATCTGTTTTCATTTTAGTTTGTTTAAACTGATCCTTGTATAGGTGATTCTAAATATAAGTCTTATTCTTAAATAATATTATTATTACTACAGCAGTTCATAGGGAATTTAGTATTTTGGTTGTGCAGAATTTGTAATTATTCATAGTCAACAAATTCTCAAGGATTTCATACATGAGGACTCATGAAATGGATATTTAAATCATGTAAGAAGTTTGGATTTCTGATTGTTTTCTTAGGTAAAAGTCTTTATGATGCTTTTACTCTAGTAATAATTGAAAATAGCTATCTGAAAATGTAACTTCATTTGTCACTTATTCCTTAAGAAATGGAAGATAAGCAGGTCCAGGATAGTAGCTTACCCAAGTAGTGAAGAGGGAAACACATGTAGAAGAAACCGTGGAACAGAACCTTATAGAACCTTTTATACATTAACATTGAGAATATTTAGATGATTAAATGACAGTTATTTTATAGCAGGGCAGTTTATATTTCTTTGTCTATTTAGCAAAAGTTGCTTGATTTTTACTGAGAATTTTCTGGAAAATAAGAGGGAGGAATTGTGAATTACAAACAGCCCTTCAGGTTAGCAATACAGGGGCCCCCATTGTAGTAGAGACTTTACCTGTATATTGCTAATGTAATTTATCTTGAATAATAAGGAAGAAAATATGCAGCTGGCAAAGGAGGGGGAAGAAAGTCGTACAGAAGCTGCTGTTCATTTTCAAATTACTTTAAATAAAATCCAATCCCAGCTGAAACAGCATGACATACACAATAGCAAACTCCAACAGGAGAACATTGAATTGGGAGAGAAATTGAAGAAGTTTGTTGAACAGTACGCACTGAGGGAAGAGGTAAATTGTTTTGGGTTTACTTATTGACAGCTTCTGAGTATCAACAAAATTTTTTCACCATTCATTATTAAAATCAAACTGTTGTCCTATGACAACATTTTAGAACTTTTTATTTAAATAGTAGAATATAAATGTTCATCAGGAAAGTTGAAGGAAGTATGTTAACAAAAGGACAAATTGGAATCATCAGTTGACCCAGTAACAGTGAATTTATATATATAAAAAAAAAAAGTAATTTGTTTGGTTTTGTATTTTTGGTACTGAAGATTGCATCCAGGGAATAGTGAGCCATATTCTTGGCTCTCTATAAATTTTTATTTTGAGACAGTTTTACAAAGTTTCCTAGGTTCATCTTGAACTTGCTGTCTTGCTGACTATTAAAGAATACAGAAATATAGCATGTTGCTCAAATGGTGTTTTTAGGAAAGTACTAAGTATGAAGTACTATATTGTCTCTTCTGATACTAGACAATTATAGTTTAAGAACATATTGTTTTTTCTTATGAAGATGAATGTTTTACCCTAGTCTATCATTTCTCTGATAATCTGTATAATTTATATATACTAAATCCTTACAGAACACTTTCTCTATGTAACAAAAAATAGAAGTATATATTTCTTGGGAGATCAACTGAAATTAATCAAAACCAACTACCTAGTTGTAATGGTAGCTACACACCTAATAAGGTAAAAAATTGCTAGAACCATTCAGAACTGCTAAACTGGGATATTACAGTTATTTTCAATTCAAGTAGAAATTGGGTAATGTCTAGGTAAAATATAAATTGGTGATAACGTATTTATTTCAGTGTCCTTACTTTTAGAGGCCAGGGCCATAAATTTAGAGCATTTGAAGTTTCAAGGTGCGTGTTCCTTAATTTTGATTTTCTTTAAGAAGTGAGTAAAAGACATGATTTTATGAATATTGAGTTCTTCCTATACATTGTAATTGTTTAATAAAAAAGTTGTGATACCCCCAAAAATACTTTTAGCTCAAATTTTAGATTTAGTTCAGCCTTCCGTAACTTCCTTTGTAAACATTTTTCTTTTAAAATTTCAAGTATTATTTCATTCATTCTTCTATTATTTAGCAGTTTTCTAGCTTCTTATTATGGAAAGTTGCTGACTAAATGTAAAACATATTATTTGTGTAAATAGTTATCTCCTCTGCTCTTACTGTCTGGTGTTTCCATCTTTTTAAGTAAATGGATGATGTAGTATTATTGCACCCTGAAGTTTTATTTTGAAATAAGATTCCATCTTTACATCCAAAAATATGACAATTATTAATCACATTTTGGTATTTCCGCATGGTCCCATGAAGGTCCCCTTTTTAAAAATTGTTTAAATCAAAATATATTCCATTGTTTAGTTATATCTTATATTTTCTTAATATATAGATTTCTGTTTATCTGTTTACAGTGTTATTAAGAGTTTATTTAGGCCTATTGAATGTGCATGTCTCTTATTAGCTTTGTTTTTAAAATTCTTGGTTTTTAAAATAATTCTTTTTTTTCTCATTGAGTTTATTGGTACATTTTAGGTATACAGTATGGTTACAATCATCCTTGGGATCTAGAAATCTTACATGACAGGTCTTAGTTCTCATTTTTCTCCTTGTCTCTACCCTCCCTTCACCCCATCATCCCCTCCCCATTTACAAACATTTTATTTCTGTTTTCTCCTTTTTTTTTCTTTTCCTTATTTTACCTCTCCCCTACCCTTCCCACTTTCTCTACCCCTTTAGCCCTTTTCTTCCTATTTTACATTGTCAATTATACCATTAGAATCTTATGTACCATTATAGCATTATAGTTTTTCATACCAGAGAAATTATTCGGTATTATACATGTGTGACTTATTTATTTCACTTAGAAGTATGACCTTAATGTGCATCCATTTTATTATGAATAACTCTAATTTCTCATTCTTCCCCCACCCTTTCATTGAGTTTATTGATATATTTTAGGTGTACTGTACAGTTACATTTATTATTGGGATCTTGTACCTTTACATGATAGGTCTGGGTTCTCATTTCTTCCCCACACCCCTGCCCCCCCTTCACCCCCTTCTCCCTTCCCTATTTCCAAATACTTTATTTGCATTTTTCATTTAAAAAATAATTTCTCATTCTTTATGGCTGAGTTGTATTCCATTTATAGAAAAAACAAATCTTTATCCAGTCTCCAACTGATGAGCAAATGGGCTGTATCCAAGTTTTAAGTATTATAAACTGTGCTGCTATAAACCTAGGTGTGCATATATCACTGTGATATGATTCTTTTTAATTCTTTTGGAAATACACCTTGCAGAGTGATGGCTGGGTCAAATGGAAAATCTAATTCTAGTTGTTTGAGAGATCTCCTTATTGATTTCCATAGTCATTGCACCAGTCTGCACTGCCACCAACAATGGAAGAGGGTTCCTCTCTCCCCACCTTACCAACCTGTGTTATTTGTTGATTTCTTAATAGAAGCCACTCTTTTTGCGGAGAGGTGGAATATCACTTGTTTTCATCTGCATCTCTCAAATGAACAGTGATGTGGAACATATTCATATATTTACATGATGCTTTTACTTCTTTGTCTGAGAAATCTCTGTTCTTTTCAGCTGCCCATTTTTAAATTGGGCTTTGTATTTTGGGGGGTCTGATTTTTTGGAGTCCTTTATATATTCTAAATAATACTCCTTTGTCTGAAGAGCACCTTGTAAAAAAAATTTTGCCCGCATTGTAGGTTGTCTTTTAGCTCTATTGGCAGTTTCTTTTGCAGTTCAGAAGCAAGATGAGATCCCAGTTGTTGATACTTTCTGCTAGTGCCCATGCTACTGAGCATTTGTTCATAAAGTCTTTTCCTATGCCACTGTCTTCAAGGCTTCTGACTAACTTATCTTCCAGCAAGTGTAGTGACTCTTTTTTAATATTTAGCTCTTTAATCCACTTTGATTTTAATTTAGTGCATGGTGAAGGATAAGGGTCTAGTTTCAATCTTTGGAATGTTGAAATCAGTTTTTCTAACACCATTTATTAAAGGCTATCTTACCTCCAGTGGGGATGGTCAGCTTCTTTGTCGAAGATGAGGTAGCTGAGTACACCTGGAGTTGTTTCTGTAGCTTCCAGTCTTTTCCACTGATCCTCAGGTCTGTTTCTTTGCCAGTACCATGCTGTTTTTATTGCAGTGGCTTTGTAGTATTGTTTCAGATTGGGAATTGTTATACCCGCTGCCATGTGTCTATTGCCTAGAATGGCTTTTGCTATTCTAGGTCTCCTATGGTTCCAAATGAATTTTTGAATTCTTCTTTCTAGTTCTGTGATGTATAGTGTTGGAATTTCAATTGGTATTGCATTGTCTCTGAAAAGCAGTTTTGGTAGTATGGCCATTTTCACTATTTTGATTCTTCCTACCCAGGATCAGGGGATATCTTTCCATTTTCTTATATCCTCGTCAATTTCTTTTTTCAGAGTGCTATAGTTTTCAGTGTAGAGGTCTATTTCTTTTGTTAAATTGATTCCCAGATACTTCATTTTTTTTAGTGCTATTGTGAAAGTAATTGTTTTCCTAATTTCTCATTCCATGAGTCTGTTATTTGTGTACAAGAAGGCTGTTGATTTTTGGGTGTTGACCTTGTATCCAGCTACTCTGCTAAAAGTGTTTATTAAGTCAAGAAGTTTTAGAGCTACAAGATCCCAACAATGAATGTAACTGTACTGTATCCCAAAAATGTACCAATAAACTCAATTAAAGCTGAAAAAAAAAGAAATTGATAAACACACACACACAAAAAGAAGTCTTTTGGTGGAGTTTTTTGGGTCTTCAATGTAGAGTATCATATCATCAGCAAATAATGACAGTTTAACTTCTTCCTTTCCTATCTTTATTTCTTTAATTTCTTTCCTTTGTCTAATATCTATGGCTAATGTTTGCAGAACTATATTGAAGAGGAGTGGTGATAGTGGGCATCCATGTCTTGTTCCTCAATTTAACATGAAGGTTTTCAGTTTTGGCCCATTTAATATGATGTTGGTTGTTCATTTTTCATAGGTAGCCTTTATTAAGTTGAGATATAGACCATCTATTCCAATTTTTTGCAGTTTTTATCATGAAGGCTCTTGGATTTTGTCAAATGCTATTTCTGCATCTATCGAGAGGATCATGTGGCTCTTGTCCTTGACTCTGTTAATATAGTGTATTACATTTATTGATTTACATATGTTGAACCATTGTTGCATCCCTGAAATAAATCTGACTTGGTCAGGGTGTATGTTCTTCTTGATGATCCTCTGTATTCTGTTTGCTAGTATCTTATTGAGGTTTTTATATCTATATTCATTAAGGAGATTGGCCTGTAGTTCTCTTTTTTAGTTATATTTTTTTCCCTGGTTTGGGAATCTAAGGGATACTTGCTTGCAGGAATGAATTTGGAAGTACTGCTTCCCTTGTAATTTCCTGGAAGAGTGAAGAGTAATGGCAGTAGATCGTCTCTAAATGTCTTGTAAAATTCAGCAGTGAATCCATCAGGACCTGAGCTTTTCTTTGTTTGTAAGTTTTTAATTCCATTTTCAATTTCACTGATTGTAATTGGGGTGTTTAAAATGTTTTTATCTTCTTTGTTCAACTTTGGTAATTCATAAGTATCTAAAAATCTGTCCATTCTTCTATGTTTTCCATTTTATTAGAATACAGGTTCTCATAGTAGGTATTAATGATCTTCTGGATTTCTGTGGGATCTGTTGTGACTTCACCTTTTTCATTCCTGATTGCATGAATCTGAGCCTTTTCTTTCCTTTTCTTGATAAGGTTTGCTAAGGGTTTATCAATTTTATTATTTATTCTTTCAAAAAACCAACTCTTTGATTTATTTATTATTTTGTAACATTTTCTTAGTTTCCATTGCATTAATTTCTGCTCTCATCTTTATAATATCCTCTCTTGTTTGAATTTTGGGTTGTTTTTTATCTTATTTTTCTAGGAATCTAAGTGCCATAGTTAAGTTGTTTATTTGAACTTGCTCTGTTTTCCTAATGAGGGCATTCAGTGCTATGACTTTTCTACATAGAACTGCTTTCACGGTGTCCCATAGATTCCTGTATGTTGTATTGGTATTTTCCTTTATTTGTAAAAACTGTCTGATTTTTTCTTTAATTTCCTCTGTGATCCATTGATTGTTCAGGAGAGTGTTGTTCAATTCCCATGTGTTTGTGAAGTTCCTATGGTTTCTTATGGTATGGATCTCCATCTTTATTGCAGTGTGATCTGATAATATACAGGGAATAACTTTGATTCTTTTGCATTTATTCAAACCTGTTCTGTGAGCTAGTATGTGATCTATCTTGGAGAATGACCCATATGTAGCTGAAAAGAATGTATACTGTGATTTTGTGGGTTGGAACATTCTATAGACATGTAATAAATAAGTCCATGCATTGAAAAGCTTGACTCCATTCTAGTATTTCATTGTTGATGTTTTTGCCTAGATGATCTATTTGTGACAATGGGATATTTAGATCCCCCACTACAATTGTATTAGTGCTTGTTTGATTTTTCATGTTAATATTTTTTATATAGTTGGGCATTTATATTTGGTGCATATATGTTTATGACTGTCATTTCTTCCTCTTGGACTGTTCCCTTTACAAGGATGTAGTGGCCTTCTTTGTCTCTCTTAATCAGTTTTGGTTTGAAATATACTTTGAGAGTAAGATTGCTACCCCTGATTTTTTCTGGGCTCCTGTTGCATGGAGAATTGTTTTCCATCCTTTCTCTTTCAGTCTGTGGGCTTCTTTTTGCACTAGGTGTGTTTCTTGTATACAACATAATGTTGGGGTTTGCTTCTTAATCCATTCTGCCAGTCTCTTTCTCCTGATTGGTGAATTGAGGCCATTGACATTGATTGTTATAACTGACTGACTTATCATTGTCATGTTGTTGTCCTTTTGTTGACTCTTTTTTATTTTTTTAATTTCTTGCCTTGGCTATTTGAATTGCTCTGTTGGGCCTCGTGGTGTTTTGATCTTCATTGTCTTTTTTCTAGGATATTGTTTAAAATTCCTGTAGTGCTGGTATACTATTCATGAAGTTTCTCAAGTGTTCTTTTTCATGGAATTATCTTATTTCTCCATCCATTTTGAGAGAGAGTTTTGCAAGATACATCAGTCTTGGTTGTAGTTTGTTTTCTTTCAGGACTTGGAATACCTCACTCTAGGCTGTCCTTGACCTGAGGGGTTGTGTTGAAAAGTCTTCTGTGTTTCTGATGAGCTTTCCTTTGCATATGATTTATTTCTTTTCTATTACTGCTTGTAGTACTCTGTTCTTCTATTGGGTTTCTGGAATCTTGATTATTATATGTCTAGGTGTAGATTTTTTTTTAAACCTTGGCTAGTTGGAGTTGTATATGCCTTGCTTATCTATGTCAAATTCTTCCCCGCTGTTTGGGAAGTTTTGTGTCATTAATTCTGTGAACAGCATTTTTAAGTCATTTGCATTTTCTCCTGCTACTTCATCGTTTCCTGTCAGTCTTATGTTATTCTTCTTTGCATCATCTAGGAGCTGTTGGATCTAATTCTCATGCTCCCTTACTGTTTTTTGTTTGTTTGTTTGTTTTTTGGTACCAGGGTTTGAACCAGGTCCTTGCTCTTGCAAGGCAGGCCATGGAACTGCTGAGCTAAATCCCCAGCCCCTCCCTTTCTGTTTTTAAGAGACCTCTCTTTTCAAGGTCATTGTCTGATTCTATCTTCTATATCTGAGTTTCTTTCTTCCTAATCTTTTATTCTGTTGTGTATAATTTCAATAGAGTTTTTAATCTCCTGGATCTCTGCTTGAATCTGTTTAATGGATTCCATTTCTTTCCTATGTTGGCTGTGCATTGTTTCCATTTCTTTCTTATTCTGGGCCTTCATGGTTTCTACTGTGTTCCTAATCTTATCTATTTTTTTGTCAGTTTCTTTTCTGGAGTCTTGAATCATATCTTTTATTTTGCTCCCCATCTCTGTGGTTATCTGGGAAATTATTTCTGTTTTGAGTTTTTCTGGAGCCTGATTGATCAGTTTTGTTACTTCCTGTGCTGTGAGTTTTTAGTGTCCTGGAAGTTCACTATCAGACTTTTCAATCCTTTGCCCTACTCTTTGCCATCGTTGGACTGGAAGTCTGTCTTTGTGTCTTGCTTAAGTGTTTTCTCATTTTTATATTCGTTGTTCAGTTGACCTTGATCCAGTCTCTGGGTTATTAAATCTTCCTGATATTACTTGAGTCCCAGCCTTTGATTCTCTAATAACTTATAGACATGCTCATTTTCATAATTGAGAAAATAACTCATCAGATCAATCCCTCTCCTTTATCCCAATCGATACATTCAGAAAAACAATAGGATCAATCACCAGCCATGCCTCTGCAGAGTGTGTCCAAGGACTGGCACAATCTGGGGATCTGGGGTGGGGTGCTTAGCAGCACAGGTGCTGCTACCCTCCTGGCGCTGGGTCCGGGCAGTCAGTGGCACCCGCCGGGAAAGATGCAGCTCCAAAGGAGACCAGTAGATCAGGCTGGGCCAGGCCGCAGCAGAGGGGAATCTTAGGAAGTCCAAGCTGGGGCCACTGTGGCAAAATTCGCTGTCCTGGCATTGGGTCCGGGCAATCAATAGCACCCACTGGGTAAGGCGCAGCTCTGGAGGAGGCCCATCTACATTTATTATTTTTAATTAGTCTATTATTAACTAATGATCTAATTATTTGCAATTAGGGACAGATTCTTGTAGTTGCCACAAAACTTAATTTGAATACCTTATTTTCACCTAGTATTTCTTCCTCTACCATAAGATTTTAACAACTAAAAGCACTATTTATGTTTATAAAGGGATGTTTGATGACTTATTGAGGAGGAAAAAATGCCCAGAAATTATGTGTATGATAAATAAACAACAGATGTGTTTTTTTATCCATTTTTTAAAAAAATAAGATGTGAGCGTTACTTTCAATATAGAGCCAAGGACCATTTCCAAGGTGGTATCAAGAAGATCTTCTGCACAGAGGGACAGAGAAACTCAGCACTTAGTTATGGTGTTATTAACAGGGAACAAACAAAAACATAAAACAGTGAGTTGTAACTGGCTTTATGTTTTTTTGACATTGCATTCTTTTAAAACCTTCATGTAACTGAAGTCATTTCATTTTATTATAGCATATTGATAAAGTATTAAAACAGAAGGAATTGGAGCAACAGCTTGTGAATGCCAAACTTCAGCAGACAACACAGATGATAAAAGAAGCTAATGAAAAACATCACAAAGAGAGAGAGTTTGTAAGTTCTCTTCTTTAAAAGAGAAAAAGAAATTACCAAAGTAATTTAAACCAATAGAACTAATTTTTTAACATGAGCCAAAGATGTTTTTTCTACCAAGGAAGTAGTTTATCTATTTTCAGCTTACTTTTCAAAAACAAAATATAACACCATATACAAGAATTTGTTTAGTAAAGTATATGTAACATTTATTTGTGCTCTTAGAGCCTAATTTGCTAAATAATTGACATGATTTCTTGATCCAAAAATCATTAAAAATAAGATAATAGTCTGACAATAGAAAAATCATATATGCATATTTTTCTGCTGGTTTGGCATAATAGCTTAAGTATTTTTCATCGAAAAGTTTATTAGAAATAAAAAGTTACATACACTTCAGAATGAAGCACTGAATTTCACATCTGTCCATTTTGTAACTTTATAATTTCTGGAAAAACCATTTTGGCCTTCTAGCTTCTTATTGCTAACAGTGTTTACAATGTGGTTAAAAGCTGGCATCATTTCTTTTTTTGTCAAAGAGTACAAAGACTTTCTAAATATAGAAATTAATTAGTAGTCATCTTCTGTTTATAAGTGTAGAATTCTATTTATTTTCATGCACAACTCATTTCAACCCTGGAATTCGTACAATTTACTATGCCTCTAAATTACTGTATCTGTTTAAGTACCTAAAGGTTATTTACACAAGCATAAAGTTGAACACATTATTGAGGTAGGTAATTGGGAATTGATACAAGTAGTTGACAATAGAATATTTCATCCATTGACCTGATTCTAGCTAAGGATTGCTAAATCTAAATCTATCCTTTTGACATTTTAGCCTTGTGTTTGGTTGCTTTTAGTATTTTGTCTGAATATTTATATTTCATAGTTACTTAAAGAACTCACAAAGTCAAAGCAAAACTTTGAAGAAATGAAACAACAAGAAGTACAACTAAAACAACAGGTAATTTGACAACAGAAAATAACTGAATTTGTGAGTTGTTCCCAGCAAGAGATAGAAAAATGTTTCATATCATCAAGACTCTTGTTGATTTGCCTGGGATTTTTTTAATTTTAACACCATAAGTTCTCCTCAGTTCTCTGTTTATTGGGGTGGCTGGTCAACCTATCTTTAGAATCCTCTTTCCACTACATTACCTATTTTTTTGAATTGTTTTAAATTTTGTCTTGTGAATACCTACATTATAGTTTTTTAAAACTGGATATTCTCAGACTGGCCCACTGTTAGGTAGTTTTGTGTATTCTTTAAACAAAATCCTTACTTTTTAATCCAGATCACTATGATATTTTATTCTAATCTGTGTGTTTGTTTTGTATAAAATAAAGACATAGTGTATGTTCACTCAAAGGAAAGATATAAGACACAGTTGTATTTCTCATCTCTAAAAGTTTATTGCTGGGTGTGGAGATGCATGCCTGTAATTGCAGCACTGGGGAGGCTGAGGCAGGAGGATCACTGTGAGTTTGAGACCAGCCTGGGCTACCTAGTGAGTTCCAGGTCATTCTCAACTACATAGTGAGATCCTGACTCCAAAAAATAAAAATAAATAAATAAATAAATAAATAAATAAATAAATAAATAAATAAATAAAAGTTTATTAACAGGCCTTTATAGACAAGAACAATTAGGTATTTAAAGGTAAACTTTACCTTTTAAAAATTATGTTATATTAGTGAAAATACATTACCTACTAGAAAAATTAATTTAAAATTTTAGTCTTCTGATAGCATAGAAAATATAAACCTCTTACTTTCCAGACTTTCACATTCAGTTGTCCAGCCTGGTGAAGGAAAGAATCAAAGTGGAGAAAAATAATGAAGTCTAGATGACATTAGAAAAATTGTTATATTTGGGAGTCAAACATGATGCTGCAGTAGAGAACTCTTTTACCAAGGCCACTTCAAGAGCAGCTCCAGTTGTTTTTCCTGTCCCCAGTGTAGCTACTATACTTTGGTTTGGGATCTTTGTCACCTGAAATGCTTTCATCCAATCATTATTTGTTTCTTTTATCAACACATCTTTTTTTTTCCTGCTACCTAAACCTGGCATTCCTTCCTGAGGATCTGTCTCATTCTCTGCTGTGTACCTTATCATTTCATGTGTTGAGGGTGGTCTTAGTTTTTATTGCTTGGTGTTTGTTCTTGACTCACTTTTGCATAATCTGGAAATCTAATCCAGGTTAATCACTGCAAATTAACTCCTCAGCTCGTATGGGACAACTATTACCTAAATGTTGCATTGTAAATTAAAATCCATTTCTTTTAAATTATTACATATTGAATTATAAATATTGGATTCAATGTAATGTTTTCATACATGCATATAAATTACACTGCTACTTTATACCTTTATTTCTCCATCCTCTTTCATACCTTTTCTAATATTTAGTAATCTCTGTTCTATTTCAGATAGAATTTTTTTCAGATCCCACATATGAGCAAGCACATGCAGTACTTAACCTTGTGTGTTTGACCTATTTGTGTGTGTGTGTGTGTGTGTGTGTGTGGATTTTTTTTAAAGTGGAGTAGAGTTCTATTGTGTATATGCATGACTTTTTTTACACATCCATCTGTAGATATAACTTTTTTTCTATTCATTTGATGAAAGGCACCAAGATTGTTTCCATAGTTTGGTTATTGTGAATAGTGCTATAATAAATATTGGAGTGCAAGAACCTCCTTGATGTCCTAACTTCATTTCCATTAAATATATACTCAGAAATCACTAGATTAATAGTGGGCCTACTTTTGGTTGTTTGATGAACCTTTGTACTATTTTTTATAATGACTGTCATTTTACACTTTCATTAACACTGCGCAAGTTTCCCTTTCTTGAGATTCTTGCCCACATTTTTTTATCATTAGTCTTTTTGGTATTAGATGTTCATACTGGGGAGTATGCTGCCAAATATATTTTAATTTGTACATTTTGATGATTAGTGATGATAGGCATTGCCTCATGCACTTGTTGGTTATTTGTATATCCTTTAAGAAATGTCTTCTCACATTCATTGCTCAAGTTGTTTTTTAGAAGTTCTTTTCATTGCTTGACACTAAATTCTTAAGCCCCACGCAGATATTCCTAAAAGAGTAACTTTTTCTCTCCCAAAACAGCTTTTCAAATGTAAGAATGGGAGTATAGCAATACTTTGGCATTACAAGTATACAAAATTTATAAACAAAAAAAACTATATTTAATTGTATTATGACTGATGGAATGAACCTAATAAATGTATATTTTGAATTTATATTTAGAGAATATAAGGCCATTAAGTTTAAGATTTATTAGGGAATTACATGAGTTTCAGCTAGCTCTATTTCTGATATTTATGTATTATGTATGTGCTTTTGTTTTATCTTTCACATGCAAGTAAGTAATATTTCACCATATTCTTTGGAGACTTTAGGGTTTTAAACTGCATACTTGAGTGCTCAGAATATTTGATGACTTCTTTTTTATAGCTTTCTGTTTATATGGATAAATTTGAAGAATTCCAGGCTACCATGGCAAAAAGCAATGAACTATTCAAAACCTTCAAGCAGGAAATGGCAAAGGTATTTACGAACTTTTAGTAAAATATTATGTAAAAAGTAACTTATTTAGGTAGGTTATTTTCAACACACCATTCCTTAGTTGGTTCCATTTTGAACTGACAGTATTTAGCTTTGCTTTTTTTTCTGTCTGCCCTTAGCTTATTCAAACATTTTTTTCTGCAGTTATTGCAAGCTGATAATGATCTTTAAAATTCTTAACGTTAAGGCCCATGCAGAAGCCCAGCATAACATAGCAAGACCCTGTCTCCAAAAAAAAGCAAGAGGAAAAACAGGAAAATAAAATGTTTAAATAAAATCATAAAATTATTTGGGGAAGATGTTTTGGTTTTTTTTTTTAGAATTATTTTATGTAATCATTCTTCAGTTCTTTCACAAAACCTTCTGGAAATTATTTTTTTTAAAAACCAATCTAAGGCACAACAAGATAGAGAAATGGGGACCTCCAGGCAACCCATCAACTTCCCGCTCCATAAATAAACACAAAGATGAGACATAGGACTATTGCAACTTTAAATTTCTTTCGTTGCTCACAACTCAGGTATGCATATCGTGTGGCAGCTGGACAGCAGACCACCAGTCCTGGATATCTGGACATGCAGCCAGAAAGTGGTTTCTGGCTACTGCAATCACCCACCGCTTTGCATAGGGTTTTACCTCCGTTAGCAACTACAACTGAAATGGATATCCTCCACATTGTATGCACAGGTTCTGCCTTTTTTCTCCCAAGTTGATACTTGGTATTAGCATGAAACTTGTGTGCACCAGAGGTTTAAGAGGGAATTTCAACACAAAATAACCTATTAAAATTGTACTTAACTGTTGTATTTTGACAAAATTATTTTTAAAAATATACATCCTTGGCCTGCGATTACCAGGCGGCGTGTGCGGGAGCTCCCGGCCTGCGCGACAACAGACCAGGAAGGCCCCAAAGACCCCGGAGGGGGTTTCTTCAGCTGCCTGTCTGCCTGCCTGCGATCACCCGGTGGCGTGCGCGCAAGCTCCCGGCCTGCGTGGGAGCTTCCGGCTTGCGCGACAACAGACCAGGAAGGCCCCAAAACCCCGGAGGGGGTTTCTTCAGCTGCCTGTCTGCCTGCCTGCCTGCGATCACCCGGCGGTGTGCGCGGCAGCTCCCGGCCTGTGCAACAGCAGACCAGGAAGGCCCCTGTCACGCGCCGCTTGCCAGCAAGTAGACACGCGAGCCAGGATCCTTCTGAAGCTTTATTGAAAGTGAGGAGAAGGCACTCAAACAAAGGAATACACTTCCTTATATAGACCAGAGTTCTTCCACACTAGGCAACGCCCCATGGCAACAACTCCTCCAATGAGGATTTTGCCTAGTGTAACAGACCATGGCCAGTGTGGAGAAATCACCATCTCGTGATCCTCCATTACATGTCTTACATCTCATAATCATATATAAGTCATTATGATTATACCAAAGCAGGCAAACTCCTTATCCAGCAAGATAAAATAACTATATCAGCCTAAAGCAACAATTGGGCACAAACTCAGCAAACTAGGCAGATATGCTCTCCACAGGCCCCAAAGACCCCGGAGGGGGTTTCTTCAGCTGCCTCTCTGCCTGCCTGCCTGCGATCACCTGGCGGCATGCGCGCGAGCTCCCGGCCTGCGCGGGAGCTCCCGTCTTGCATGACAACAGACCAGGAAGGCCCCAAAGACCCCGGAGGGGGTTTCTTCAGCTGCCTCGCTGCCTGCCTGCCT